GGAGAGGGAGCGGCGGGAGCGGCAGGCGGCCGAGCGGCAGCTGGACGACCTGATCCAGATGTGCACGGTGCAGCTGCGCCTGCTCACCGAGGACCCCTCCAACCAGCAATATCCTTGGGAAGCAGGGCTGGGGATGGGGCTGGCAGGGTGTGGGGAGGGAAGGGGTTGAGCCCTGCCCTGAGCCCAGCAGGCAGCGTTCCCGTGTCTGCTCCTTGACCCCTCACACCGCAGCCTACATCACCTGCCAGGACCTCCGCAGCGTCGTGGACCCCTCGGAGCAAATGGTGATGGTGATCAAAGCCCCCCCGGAGACCCAGCTGCAGGTCTCAGACCCGGCAGAGGTGAGTTGGAGCCACCTTTCTGCTCCCCGTGTCTGCACAGCCCGGCCCTGTGCTCCTCGGGCATCCTTGCACCTCCTTATCATGCTCCTTTCCCTTTTCCCAGGCTTTCCAGGTCTCTGTGAGAAGCACTCAGGGCCCCATCGATGTCTTCCTTTGCCCCGAGGACAGCTCAGGGGTCTGTAGCCCTGTCAAGAGCCCCTTCAAAGCCCCCATAGAGGAGTCGTCCCCATGCCATTCGCAGCCCAGAGCCTCCCCACTCCTGCATCCCGCCCAGGACGTGAACATGTCACTTATGCCTGGAGACCAAGGTGGGCAGCTGGGGCTGGGGACAAAGGGGGCTGCCGTGGTGACACGGTGGCTCTGGCCAGGAGCTCTTGCTGTGTTTGCAGCTGCCAGCCCATCTACTGTGGGTGCAAGCAGGGAGCTGGGGTGATGCTTGGGCACCTCAGCAAGGTGGGGAGGGAGGGAAGGCAGGTTCTCCTGCATAGCCAGAACCTGGTTTTTGGGGGGGTTTTACCAAGTACTGTGGGACTTAGGGTTGCTTCCCATCCCTGCAGAGCCGCTGCTGCCGGGGACCAGCGCGCTGCCCAGCAAGGGCCCAGCAGAGGAGGTGAACCTCTCGCCACTGGCCTCCATGGACGCCTTCCTGGAGCAGAGCAGGGAGGATTTTTCAGGATTCTTGGCAGATGAGTTCATCAACCTGTCCCCGCCGCAGGCACAGGACTATCACTTTGGCCTGGAGGAGGGCGAGGGCATCAGCGAGCTCTTTGACTGTGACTTTGGGGACTTCACACCCTTGGACTTCTGAGGCTCTGCCTGGATGCTCCTGGGGGAACTGCCAGGCTGGGGAGGGAGGCCACCCCTGGACCCCTGCCCTCACAGGCAGGGCAGGGCAGGCAGCCCCTGGTCTGCAGTGCCCATAGCTCCTCTCCCTGTCTGTCCTTGCAATATTTTCTTTTTACCCCTCCAGCCCCCCCAGCCCGGTGGGGGACAGTGCTGTCCCTGGCTCCAGTCCCACGAGGGAGATGCCAGGGTGGGGGGGTCCCACCTTGAGGGACCCCCTGCAGGGCTCTGATCATGGGGGAGGGGGTGGGCTGCCCAAGGCAGAGCTGTCGCCCCCCACCCCAGGTGCCCGTTACAGAGCTTTAAGCAGTCCTGTGTATAGATTTGATTAATTTATTACTGTCCCCTGGGGACAGGGCTTAATTACCAGGGGGGTGGGGTGAGGGGGCCATGCAGCAGAGTGGGGGTGCAGAGAGGTTTTGTCATGCTGGGAAGGGGGTGGCTGAGATGCGGGGGGGGCTGGGTCCGGCTCTCCCAGGATGTGGGGGGGACAGGAGGGAGAGGGGGGGTGATGGTGCTGATGGAGGGGACACAGAGGGTCTTGCCAGGGACTCGCCACCAGCACATCCTGACTTTGCTTGTGGCCAAAACAGGGCAGCTGGCGAGGCCTCTGTGGTGGCAGGTGGCTGTGGGAGAGGGGGACAGGGCTGGTGGCCCTGGGACCGTGTGCTTGTCTCCTTGGGGGGACACAGGGGTGTCCTGGTGGGCTGCATCTCTCTGGGTGAGGACCCAATGCTGTCTCCAGGCTCTTCCCCTCCCCATACAGCTTTTCAGCCTCTTGGCTCCATTCCCCCCCTCTTGGGTCCACTGGGGCTGGGAGAGGCAGAGGGGAGGAGAAGGGGGTCCCAGAGCCCCCCAGGGCTGGGCTGGAGACGCACTTTCACTTTTACTGCCTTTTAACAAGCTTGTGTTCCTCTGAGCTTCGTGTTTAATAAAAGTTTCTACTGACTTTGGCCTTGGGTGCAGGGCTGTGCTCAGGTGGCTTGGGGGTGTCAGGGGTGGGGGGGACCCCAACCTGAGAAACCGAGGGGCTTGGGGTTATTTTGAGGGGTGGGTTTTACTTTTCCCACGTTGAACTTGAAATGCAGGAGCAGGTAGGTCACTGCCTGGGGCTGCAGGAAGTGTTTTGGTCCTTGGGTTGTTTTTTTTCCCCCCCACCTCTGCAATTCCCATGTGCTCCATGTGGGGGATGGCAGTGGAGCTGGTCCTGCAACCTCTGCTCCTCCACAAAGGCTGTGCTGAGGAGGCACAGGCCATGGGTCTGGATGGGGATCATTTCTTGCTTCCAACATCTCCTGTTCCCTCCTCATCTCTCCTGCTTGGCCCCCTGCCCTGCCTCCCTCTGGTTTTGGGACAGCATTTGCATGGGGGTGCCCATGGCTGCAGCTCCTGTGGGGGAAAAGAAAGGCAGCATGGGGCAGGTGGGACACCAGTCCATGCACCCACCAGTCCATGCACCCACCACTCCAGTAGGCTCCCAGTTTCCCCAGCATCTCCTGCTCCTGCCCAAAGACAGCTGCCAGCACCAGTTTGCAGCCTGAAGTTTGAGGTCCCCCTGACCTTGGGGATCTGCTGGCTGGAAGGGACAGCCCTGACTGAGTGACCCAATCTTCTGTGGCACACAGTTCCCTTCTCAGGGAGTGAAGGACAGTGGGGACCCACAGGGGGGATGCTTGGAGACTCCAGGGACTTCCTGGTCTGTGCCCCAGCAGCAGGCAGGGACATGCCACTTCCTTCCCTTCTGTGTGTGCTCACTCCCCCCTTTCAGCCTGGCCTCCTGCCTGTTTCTTCTTTAAACAGCCTGATAAATATTTCACTTCAGCCTGTCTTGCATGAGCTCACCCTGCTCCTGTGCTGGGTTTTGCAGGGATTGGGAGCACAGGTTTGGGCCAGGCTGCCAAAGGGTGTTGGGGTGGCACAGTGAGCCCATCACCACTGCCCAGCCTCCCTCCTCCTGCCCCCGTCCCTGCACCTCAACATGGTCCCCACTGCTGCTCCTGTCCATGGGGTCCTGCCCCACAAAGGGGGAGGCCAGAGGGGTGGACGTGGCCCCTGCTCCCCTGCCTGCTGCCTCCTTGACAAGGCTGGTTTTTGTCACCTGAGGTGACAGAGGTGATGAAGCTTTCATGATTTACTGTGGGGTGCCCAGCTCAACCACCTGCCCACGCATCCCCATCCCTGTGCTTGGCAAGATCCAGCCCTCCTTCCCCTCTGCTGCTTTTCATTCCGTGGTTGTGAAAGGTGATGGTGTTGCCCAAAGGGCTGAGACCCTGGTGAGGGGAAAGTGGCTGTCACAGGAGAGGGGGCTCAGTCCTGAGCCTTTCCCGAAAGCCAGATAACCCCGGGCAGCAGCGCAGCTTCTCCTTTCTCCCCAGAGCCAGGGCGGACCTCTCCGATGGCACCGACCATCACGTTCCCCTCACAAGGAGCCTCAGGGGATGAGGAGCCCCCGGACCGCCCCTCCCCACGGCCGCCAGCCCCCCGCAGGGACAGGACCGGACCCCCCTGCAGCACCGCA